CCTTTTGATTTCACATCCAATGGCTAAGAGTGACTGTGACATCCTTGTACTAAAAATGAATGATCTTATAAGATACAATCCCATACTTATAAACCCTTCCCAAGTTTGTGTTACGTTATTGTGGAAATTATAGTCATTGTGTAGTGTTTTAAACCTCAAAAATAAGTTTTGGATAGCCCATGCACTGTGTCGATCTGAATAGACAATTTGGATTGGATGTGTATGCAGAAAGACCATTTTCTTTTGATATAAGGAGGTCACTACTATTGTTGATTGTTAAACATGACAATAGGTGGTTGGAGATATGTCAATGGCTGACAAAAAATTCAAAATAAAATATCTCAAAAATCTGTGGATTTCACATCCAATGGCTAAGAATGATTATTACCTCTGTATACCAAAACTAAATGGTCTTATAGTATATAATTCCTTGTAGAAAAGCATATGCTACTTGTTACTATTCATTTTACCCTAGAGTGATTTGTCCACCTATCATAATCAAAATTTTGGAAATTTATGCACAGACATGTTTAAATATGCAACACTACTCTTTGATTCATATCTTCAAAAATTTAACATTGAGGCCTTTCATTTTTAATTTTAAATTTTATTTTTCAGTCTTGCCCTCGGGGTTTGACGTTGTAAACATCAAACTATTTTATTTTATTTTTTATTTTTTCACTTTTTGGCATTTGTGTAGTTGGTTAAGATATCAGACTACCCGATTTCTAGAGCGGTCCATGTTTCAAACATTGGCCATGTACACCTTAAAAAAAAAGAAAAAGCTAAGTATGTACTGGTCCGATGTATGGAACCTAGGATAGCCCCATACAAAAGAACATATTAGATCATAGGGCGGTCCAAAATGTTTCAAACATTGGACCACCTCAGAAATTGAGCGATTTGATATCTTATCTATCAGGGATGCCCAACAAAGTTCAAAACATAAAAAGACAAAGTGGTTTGGTATTTGAAACATTGAACAGAGGGAAAAACTAGTAAAAAAAGAGGGACCTTGTCATGAACTTTCCAAAAATATAAACCATAAGGTTATTTAAAAAAGAGTGGTTTGTACAAGGTGCCCACCTTACTCTATACAAGTAAGCTACACCTCAAAACTTTGTTGGAAGATGTAGTTTCGGGCCAAAATCCTTCATGATGGCTTAAAAATACAAGTTCAATCCTAATTATGAAAAGTAAAATCTTAAAAGTTCTGCAGATAAATAAATATGTAAACACATGAAAATCTTGAAAATAGACAGTCCAGATAACTTGTGACAAGATGAATTAAAGTAAATATGTAAACACATGAAAATATGAAAATAGACAGTTCAGTTAACTTGTTACAAGATGAACTACTTTAAATACTTGATTTTTTGTTTTTTTGTTTTTTTTTGTTTTTCTCCCCTTTCTTTGTATCTATTCATTTGAAGGTTGAGATGATCAATTAGAAGTAGTGTTAGAAAAACCGGTCGATGGAAATTGGCCAGTTGCTGGGTTCTAATTTTAAGTGGTTCTAATTTTGAGCGGTTTTGGTGAACAACTGGGGTGAATCTTTGTTCGAATATTTTGTTCGTTCGAATCCCACAGCCAACGTTTTTTGTTTAACATTACACTCCCACCAGAATTGAGTTCCTTTCTTAATAATCACCTCTGCGGTTTTGGTTAACAATTGGTGAATCTTTTGTTCGAATCCCACCGCCGACGTTTTTTGTTTAGTTCACTTTGTTCGTTTAAAAACATTACCCGCCCACCGGAATCGAGTTCTTTTCTCAGTAATCACCTCTTTGCCTTCCGGAATCGAAATTTGAACCTCATATAAGAGGTTCTTTAATTATAGACCCAATAACCAATACGAAATTTATTGTTTAGCTGATAAAAAGAGGGGCCTATATTATATATAATTTAATATTTTTTTCGTTTTTTTTTAAAAAAAAAAATTGGCTAAATCGATTTTTTTCACACTATTTTAATATTCTTTACATTATTCACTTTTACCATTGGGTCAAGTGGCTTTGTTCTTCAACGCCATTGGACAAATCAGCGGATCTCTTTACCAAATAGCCTACCCAAGGGCAGACCCGCCTTCCGAACAATCACATATGGCTTTGAGCCACCAGTTTCGGTTTTTGAAATCCAAATTAAAGAAAGTTACGGATAATCTTGGTCATGATAAAGCCCTAGGGCCAAATGGCTTCCCTACCGTTCTTTTATGGTTGGATTCTACATCCCTAGAGCTTGGAACTTTGTACTTGAAGTGTGGAGTGGCATGTTGTTAATAGTAGTAAGAACTCGACTTTTTGCTATTTAATGGGTGCCTTCAAATTAAAGGACTTTTATCTGATTGGCCTGCTTAATATTTCATACAAAATCTTGCCAAGGTTTTAGGTATGTCATGGCTTTGGTGATTCTAAGGTGTTTTTTTTGAGGGATCGTAAATTCTATGATCGTGCATTGGCAGCTCATGAGGTGTTCACTCCCGTCATAAATCCTTCACAAATTATGGTGGACTCCTAGAAACATGAGTAACTCTGGTGTCAGAAATCCTTAAGATGGCCCAAAAATCTATTTCATACCTAACTATGACATTTATAGCCCTAAAAATGGTAAATGTCGAGAAGATCTATGAACACTTAATTTTTTGAAAATGGATGGTCTAGATAATATATTAGGATATGCAAGTCTAGATAATATTTCATGATATGCTATTTTAGGACTTGAGATCTTTTGTATTCGTACATCTCAAGATCAAGATGATCAATTACAGATTTTTTTGACATCAGAAAAATCTTTTTCAGTGGATTTTTGAGGTGCAACTTACTTCCATAGTATAAACCTAGAACTTATATAATCTTTTTCTATATTAATATATCATCACTTTTTCTAAAAAAGAAAAAGGAAAGGAAAAATGTAACTTTTGCATTTTGGCCTTTTTGAATTGTCATCATTGGGCGTTCTTTTTTAATACCTTGGTTGTTGTTTGAGACTCCGAACATGTTCAGGAAATCTAACTTTTATGGAATTGGGGTAAAATATGATTCATAGCATGAATAATGTAATAAATCTCATTCGCTCACTACACAATCTTCTTTATTTAAAAATCTAAAAAACAAATAAGACGATGTAACTATAAATTTGGCCGAACAGGCCCAGAGGATGGCTTCTCTACTTCCAGAGCTTGCAAGGGTAGTGACAAAAGAGATGGCTCTTTCAGAGGAGACTCTTGAATTGCTAGGTGTTGTTGCCGATTTAGAGGTAAATCCTACTTCTCTCTCTCTCTATTTCTTGATTTCTCTGCCAATTTATTTTTGTTCTTTTATTTTATTTCCCTCTTTGCACCCTCCTTGATGCTGTACCTAAACGTTGAGCATGTGTATGGAGGGAGCACACTGTACATCTAATCGCTCGAGAAAGTTTGGAAATTTGTAAATTTTAGGAATGCCATATGATAGAGAAAATTGGATTTTCAGTACCTAAAGACTAGGATCTAATCATTAAAAAATTAGATGATAATGATAATAATAATAATAATAATAGGGAAATGTTTTTATACTTCCCCTACAATATAGAAGATAAATGATTCTCCTACCATCCAGCCGTCCAATTTTGTTCAAGAGATCCATTCACCATTTGATCTTAGAACCGACATCTTGAAGTATTTTATTTTTAGTTTTTTTTTATACAAGTTGTATTAATATAAAATTTGGTACTGCTATGTTCTCATTGCGGTGCATCTATAAAAAATATTAAAAATAATGTTTTGATAAAATATAATGACCAAAATACCCCTTAAAGATTTCAGGGGTATCTTGGTTATTTTATTTTATTGAAAATATTGTTTTAATATTTTTCGCAAGTGCAAGTTTAATAGAGGATTGGACATCAAAAATTTGGTATCAAAATAGTTTATAGAAAAAAATTTAAAAATAAAATAGAGTAGAGATATGGCATTGTGAATGGGGCAATCTCAACAACTCCATTCAGAATAGAAGATTGGACAAGGGGAAGTATACAAGTTTTATGCTGTAGGGAAAACGTAAAAAGCTTGCCTATAATAATAATCATAACAACAACAAGAAGGATGACGATAACAACAATAATAATAAGAATAATAGCAGCAACAATAATAGCTCTTCATCATCATCATTATCGTTATTATTATTGTTATTTATTTGTGCAAGATTGGTTCCTACAATAAGGTTGTCATATTTTGGGTCCTCAAAATACTCCTCGGGATTTTATCCAAGGGAGTGTATCTTGGATATCCTCTATCTAATTTGGGAAAGGAGCTTGGGTTGTGGTGTCCCACACCGTAGTCACCATATTGTGGTTTTCATTTCCACTGGTACCACTCCACTAAGACCATAAAAAAACTAATTTCTAAACCATTTGAAAAAAAAAAATGAACACAAGAAAGAATAATTCACATTTTCTTTCTCCAGACCGTGAATGTTGTGATGCAGATCTGAGCTTTTGTCATTAGTTCCATACCTTTGCCAAGGCCTAAGGAAATCTAATTTTCCCAACCTACATTTATTTTTGTATAGAACCCTAATCTAGTAGTAACAAGAAGTTAATGTTTACATTTTAAGTAGTGTTACCTGGACACTGACACTGGTAATGGTATTTAATACTTTTGTAGGTGTCTAGTATGTGGAGCCAAAAACTCAGTATCTTTTGGATACGTCTGGACAAGTAATACTAAATAAGATAATAATTATCATCATCCGAGCTTTATCTCAACTATTTGGGATTGATTATATGAATCATGTTCTGCAATTCTACTCTATTAAGGTCATAATTTTAGTTAGATCATAAGTCACTATATCTTTTCTCACTACTTCAATCCATATTCTTTTGAGCATTTTCCTTGCCTTTTTAGACACTAAATGCTGGAGTGGTAGACATTGACATCATATTTTAGTAGCCAAGATGCTGGTAGTTCAAGCCTGCTCATAAGTTTTTTGCGGTGTTTTATTCTGCAGAGGATAATTAGGTTTGTATATATAATATATTATCCAAATTGATTCATATAGAGCCATATTGCGGCCTTTTCCTTCTAGTGCTCCACCTCTAGGAGTATATTCTCCATTTATTCGCTAAGGTAAAATTTAATATAGAAGTAATTTTAAGACCCAAAATTTAGGCATAAAACATCTTCAACCCAAAATAATAATAATAATTGCACTCTCTATGCACTATTCAAAAAGGAAAAAGTTTATATAAGGATGCTAACTTATAATGTAGAACTACGGATGCCCCTAAAAAATACATCGGAAAAGGTAGTCTTAATGTTGAAAAACCCTTTGATTGATCATCTCGACATCGAGATATATGACTATGAAAAATAAAAAGATTTTAAGTCGCAGAAATAGTGCATTTTACAACATAATATCTACACCATCCATTTTCAAGATTTTCATATGTTTATAGATCTACTTGATTTTAACCGGTTTTGAAATTTAAAATTTTATGATTAGATATAAAAATAGATTTTGAGATAATCCTAAGAACATTTTACATCAAAATTATATACCATGTAAAAATTTGAAGGTGCACCTTAACTCTACACCTACGGATGCGTCCGTATGCAAACTGCACCCTTTCAAAAAATGGCCTCCAAATCGAACAAAGATCATCTAATTTTTTGGTGGTGAGATCTAAGTTGTTTAAAAATTCAAAGTTCAATTTTTTTTTTTGTTTTTTTAGAAAATAACATCTAGTAATCCTTAGGTAGTTTTCATAATTTCAGATTGAAAAAGTCCGCCCATGTAGGTTCACAATAATGCTCCCATGGGAGCATGGTTCTTCAATTTCACCACCATTGTCCAAAAATCTTAGCTCTTATTCTTTGCGGCCTTCATACATTTCCTATTGGTAGACACCCCTTGTGATATTGCTGCATGTTATTGTTGCGTGGAGTATGCTGATGCATGACCGGTGGCAGTGTAGATCCACTGTGGAAAGAAAAGTTCATCTTCCATGTAGATGACAACTTCTTCTTCAACCAAACCTCCCAAGACAAACAAAATGCGTCCTCAGTTATAGTCAAGATTTACCAGATGCGTGGTCTCCTCTTAATAGAGAAGCTTCTTGGCTCAGCGCGGATTCATCTAAGCAACTTGATTGGATACAGTGATTGAGGGTTTGCATTGATTCTTACGCGTCCTTCGAGTCGAATTCAGGGCGAGGTGAATCTGAACACCACCTTTTGGAATGGTGATTCCATCTTGCTCTCAAATTCTAAATTGGTGGAGAGACATGGTGGGCTATTGGAGAGAGATGAGAAAGAGAAGGGCATGAGGATGGGTTAAAAGAGAGAGAAGAGAAAAAGAGGAGAATGTCTTGCAATGGAGTTGTATGTTTTCTTTTTCTTTGTAAATCAAAATTATATATATATATATCAATTTGTTAAGTTATAGAATAAACTTTCATTCCTCGTTATGTGGACGAGAACGATATGATATATTTTCTCCCTCAACTGCATTCTTGCAAAATCAGAGTTCTTACATCCATAGATATTACAACAGTATATGCTTCAAGATAACAAGCACACAAAAGTTTCAACAAACAGAAGCACTTTGCCTTTCCAGTTCCCCCAGAGGTGCATATTACATCTTAATATTTATTGGGAGCTTATAAATCAAACTAATGAGGTTGCTTGCACATATAGTTGCAAAAGAAGGAACGTAATTGACTTTTTTTATTGCTGGCATTGAAGGACAACTAAAGCCCTGAAAATACATTTCCAAAATTATGTTTACGTGGAGAGGGTACATTTTTGGTGTTTGAATCAAAATTTTGGTACAGAAAAGTATTTTTGTTGAAAATTATTTTCCTCAAGCCAAAAATAAAGAAATATGCAACCTTGACTTTACCCTCAGAAATTGATATCCAGCCAGATTTTCCGTTATACAAATGCCCAAAATACAATTAATTCAGCCAAAACACCCCCACGAATTAGTGAGAAACTATTGCAAATTTTAATATTTAAAGAGAAAGTATCTCAACATCAAGATGCATGGACATATTTCAAGTTTTGGAAATAGTGCATCTTGTAATGTATTTTTTGACCGTCAATTTTCAAACTAGTTTTCATAGATCTGTTCAATCTACACTTTTTTTTTGAAGCTTTAAATTCTATAATTAAAGATGAAAATAGATTTTAAATCTATTACAAAGATTTCCAATATTGAGACTGTATTTCTTTACTTTATTTGAAAGCGTGTTTTACTTTGATTGTTTAGAGCTGTGGCTCTATACAAACCACACCCTTCAAAAAAACAATATGATTTTTTTGCGGTTCTCTTGAGCTATAATTTGTAAAGAGAGAAATTTGTTAGTTTTTTAGTCCTACATTGAAGTGGAGAGTATGAATTGAGTGGTGTTTAAGTGTAGGCATACTCATACATTATATTATTGGTCCCAAGATATAGCAATCATGTGTGCCCCGAAACAAGAACGTTTCAACCTTCTTTTTTCTTAACTTTTAACTATCTTTTTGTCCTTTGCCATCCAACCGAATTTCATTTTCTAAAGGAAAAAGTTTATATAAAGCTGTAACTTTTAACAATCTTTTTGCCCCTTTCCATCCAACCGAATATCATTTTCTAAAGGAAAAAGTTTGTGTAAGGTTGCTACTTTAAAATGTAGAATTACATATGCACCTCAAAAATCTATCGGAAAAGTTGTTTTAATGTTGAAAAACACTCTAATTGATCATCTCAACATTGAGATGTCTGAATTTAAAAAAAAAAAATTTAACTACCATAAATAGTGCATCTTGCAACACATTATCTAGATCGCCCATTTTCAAGATTTTCATATGTTTATAAATCTATTAGATTTTAACCATTTTTCGAGTTTAAAATTTTCTAATTAAATACGAAAATATATTTTAAGATAATCCTAATAATTTTTTACAACAAAATTATATGTTATGATAAAATTTCATTGTGAGACTTAATTGGATTGTTTAAGGTTGTGACCTTATAGAAACCACGCCCTTTTTTAAAACATAGCTCATACGAGGGTCATTGCCGCCACAGTTAGGCATTCTTTTCTGATGCCTGTGGAATTTATTGTTATCCAGCGTTGTAGTGAAAAACAAAACAAGTGCATGATTTGGGTGCTTCCAAGGCTGGCAATATAGTCCCAAAATATTAGTTCATCGATCTTGATGATACTAGAATGGTCCAAATTGTCGATCCAGCCAAATCAGATGAGGATTGTCAATAGACGATCTTTTAGTTTTTTTTTTTTTAAAATACTTATGTGTATTTCAAAATAACAATATGTTTTTTTGTGGTGTTTTCTAAGCAGTATTTTGTAGAGGGAGAGAGTTGTGCGGTTTTTAGTCCCACATTGAAGAGGAGAGTGCGAATTGAGTGGTACTTAATTGTAGGTACTCTTATACCTTATACACTTAGCACGTAGAGATGATGTATTTGAGGGACACGCAAAGCATGCAATGGCAATTGATGGCACTTAGCACACACCGATGCGAGCGTGAGGTGCCCCTTGCTCGGGCATGTATATGGGCTCGAGGGTCGATATTTTTTTTATGAGCATGGTTAGTGTGGGATATTTTTTTTATGAGCATGGTTAATGTGGGACATTCAAGGGTCACTGGCCGTTGAAGAAATTGAGGCTTGTAACGGTAGTCGTAGAGCGTTGGCACATCTAAAGAGACGCTTTTGTTTTCATGTATCCCGAGGACAAGTTGCCCTTCTTATGCACACCTATTATAATATCAAACAGGGGCAAATATGATTTTTCAGATAGCATTCTTGAGTACACGTAAACAAGAAGGATTCATCGTACTTCTTGTTTTTACTTTGTATGATATTTTTGCCACTTTTTCACCCTACTAATTTCCAACAATTTCAAACGATTTGAAGGCTTTTTTGTTCCATAATTACAATTTTCGATGAGTTTTAAGGTGACGCTTTACTTCTCCCGAAAGGACTGCCGCTCTATTAAACCATCTTCCTTATAAAAAAAATCATGATTTTTGTTTAAATTTTATTTTAATAAGTAACTTAATCATTAAATAAGGGTAAATTTGAAAACTTTTATAAAAATACGATGATATTTTGGAAGCATAGTTCGTCAAACAAAAACATATGCAACAAATTGATTTTATTTCAAAAAGTGAGAGGAAAAAATTGGGTAAAAAAAACGGATCGTCAAAAATAAGGTAAGCTATAAAATCGTGAATATTTTGGATTTGGTTAAAAAAAACGTAGTGAAAAAATCGGATATGTAAAGATGATAAAATATTGGATTATAATTTGCAGCTATTGTATAGATATACGAAAGCCACTAAACAATAATTTTATCACCTTACGAGTGATATTAGAATAACACTTAACAATTTTTTGTAGAACTTTTAAATAAATATAGCAACAATGCTTACTTTGTTGTCACATCACAAAAGATATCGTAAATCTATTGCGAGCATAAAATGAAACAATAACAACAATACTAAACACAAGAACTAATTAATAAATAATAAGAACTGTGAACCAAGGTATAGGATTATTTCTTTAACAAAAAAATCCCCTCAATATAAGATTGCAGTTAATTAATAAAAAAAAAGCACAAATACCCAAATATGTAAAATAATGTTCCATCCAAAATGCTATGTTGTATACACCACTAAAATAAAAAAATAAAAAAATATATAAAATTAATCAAACTTCTTTATGCATAAAACAAAAAAACAAAATGCTCAAGAAAATTTGAATCTCGCACTGAATAGCTACCTAAATCTTTAGTATGATTGTATCTCTCTCTCTCTCGCTCTTTACAAGGACATTATGGGTTTAAAGTAAAAAAATAAAAAAAAATTATTAAGTTGTTCTTCTTCTAATTTTGCCTATTATTTTAAAATATATGATTTTTTTTTGTTTTTTAAGAATATATTGCTTGTTGTTTTTGTACACTTTTTTTAAGATAACTCATTGGTGAATTCTTGATGGAATTTTTTGTTACATCAAGAATAATAAATTACTCCCACTGTTAATGCATTTATCTTTAAATCAAAATTCAATAATATTAAGTTAATGAAAAAATAAAGTTATAGGGAAGAAATTTTTTTGAAAAGCTTTTTTGAAAAAAGATAAAATACTGATTTAAATTGGCACCATTAAAAAGGCGTGACTTTTTTAAGATCTTTTCAAAAAATCGGGGTTCTAAACGTACTTCAAAAGATCAGAGATTATTTGAAAAAGTTGTGTTTTAATCAGAGACTTGCTAACTATGTTTGGAAGTTAATGTCTTACAACTTTATTTGTAATAGATCCTTGTCTTCAGTAAAAATTACAACTTTACTTCTTATAAAGACGACGAGGTAAAATTAAAGAAAATTAAAAGAAAACAAAAGTGAGCACCTGGCCGAGCCTCTCTTGCCTTGGCCTAGGCCGGATCCTCAAGCCACATTTTGTAAACCAGGCCCTAGTTTTTTACGAGAAGTCCACCAGGCCGGGCCCAGTCATCCCAAGCCATTGGCACATATTGTATAGTAGCATGTTTCATAAATAGAAGTACATTTATTTCAAGATTTTTTACTTTTATTTAGAGTCTATGTTAAGATGTATATATAACTATGTTGGTCCATAAATAGAAGTAAACTTATTTCAGGATTTATAACTTTTAATTAGAATCTAAGTTAAGATGTATATATAACTATGTTGGTCCATAAATAGAAGTAAATTTATTTCAGGATTTTTTACTTTTAATTAGAATCTAAGTTAAGATGTATATATAACTATGTTGGTCCAGTCCTTCCTGCGAGTTCGAGAGGCAGGTTCTCTAAGAATTGGGGGTCTCAAAGAGAGAAGAAGACCCTCATAATGTCAATGTCGAAGTGCTCAGCAATGACTCTAGCCCTTGTGTTCCTATCTCTGGCCATGTCCTCTGCCAATCCTAATAGAATAAAAGAAGAAAGAAAAGCAAACAACTTCATCAATGAAGCCTGCAATCACACAACCGACCAAAACTTCTGTGTCATGACATTAGGCTCAGACCCTGATCGTGCCTCCGCCAGCGACTTGGCTGGGCTGACGGCCATCGCGCTCAAAATAACTGTAGCCAATGCAACAGACATCTTCGCCTACATATCGTAGCTGTTAAACAGGAGCGGCAATGACAATAAGAAAAGTTTTGAGGTCTGTTTGGATGTTTATCAACTGACAGTGGACCATATGCAGGAATCAGTGCCGGCTCTGCAGCAGAAGAACTACATCGATCTCAAAGTCTACATTACTGGCTGTCTCAATCACCAGGTGGACTGTGAGGAGGTGTTCTCAAAGGATAGCTCTCCACTCACAAAGATGAATAACAATTTGACCAAGCTCATGTTGATGACTCTTGATCTCGTAAACTATCTTTCTCCCTCCTGATCTTGCAAGGATCCTATGCAATCTATTTCTTTGTTTTGGATAATAAGGGACCCTTTTCATACAAGGGTCTTCTGGAGGGTGTTTCTTTTTAGTATAGAATATATTGCTTTTTTATGTGATATTTAATGATTTATTTTGTTAGAAATGAGAATTAATAATTCATTGTGAAGTAGACCCATTTGAAATGCCCTACATTACTACAATTTGTATTACGTGCATGAGATCGAAAATATATAGCGTGGGACCTCATTATATTATTTTACGGTATATGCAATATTTGTTGTGTGCAAAAGGTTTAAAATTTGATGGGTTGATTTTTAGTAAATAAAATACACAAAAATTTATGTTGTTCGTCACAGATGTGATTATAACTACGAGCGAAGACCATTAATGATTTTCACCAATTCAAAGACAAAAAATTACAATACACTTAACTTAGAGAACGACACTCAATCTCCCACTATATGTCTTTTTCTCTACAATTTTTCTTGCTACACACTCAAGTTTCCCTTCTTTTTTTTGACACTAAAGGAGAAAAGCACCCAAAACTTAATAACTCTATCCTAATCAACAGTAGAACCTACTTACATCAAGCCCTTAAATAACTTACTTGGGATCCCAACTCAAAAGAAAATCACCCAAAAATAGGAGACCAAAAGTAAAGGCACCCTTTGACTAACAAAAAGATCATGTAGACGGTAAGGAGAGGATACCATGACTAAAGGGATTCAAGGCAATCCAACAAATTTTCAGTTTGGCTTGAATTCCCAAAGAGATTCCTATTGACTGTCTTTCCTAAATGCACCCTACTGGCATTCAACTTGGCAGCACATTAGTAAAGTCTAAGCACATCTTGAACTTCTATAAAGAATCAACTTTATTAAAGAATCAACATCTCTTATGACCCGACATCACTGTACAAGCAAGTGGTTAGAGTAGCAGTTTGAGAGTTAGAACCCTAGGGCACTATCTCATGACGAATTCCAACACAATCCGCCCCACCTATCATTTTTTAAAAGAAAAAGTTTATATAAGGTTGCAACCTTAAAATGTAGAATTACATATGCACCTCAAAAATCTATCGAAGAAGGTTGTTTTAATGTTGAAAAACCCTCTAATTGATCATCTCGACATTGAGATGTATGAATATGAAAAAAAATGTTTTTGAGTCCCATTAACAGTGCATCCTGCAACACATTATCTAGACCATCTATTTTCAACATTTTTTTCATATGTTTATAGATCTACTTGATTTTAACCATTTTTGGAGTTAAAACCTTCTAATTAGATATGAAAATAGATTTTAAGATATTCCTAGAATAATAATAATAACGACAACAACAACAACAACAACAACAACAACAACAACAATAGCAACAGCGACAGCGACAGCCACAACAAATACAACAACAACAACAACAGCAGCAGCAACAACAGCACCAACAGCAACAGCAACAACAGCACCAACACCAACAACAGCAACAGCAACAGCAGCAACAACAGCAACAACAGCAACAACAACAACAGCAA